CCAGTCTCCACCTCGGGATGTAAACCACAGGAGGCCCCAGAGTTAGAGACATCACAAGCCACCACAGAGAGGGGAAGAAAAGACGAAAGGAGGCGACACACCCGGAGAAGCGACCCTTCGGGGAGAGCCCGCCTGGGGTCTTGAGCTCACAGGCGAGGAGCTCCTTTTGTGAGGCAGGGACGACCTCCCGCAGCAGAGAGGCGCTAGGCAGGAGCCCCTCCGACGCCGCAGGATCCCGAGTGGCGCTATTGAAGCCACAGACGCGGCCGGCTCGAAAGGGGCTGCTCCCTGCGCGCCTGCTGTGGGCCCCCTGGCGCCGCGGAGGCGCAGAGGCCGCACTGCTGGGCCACTTTGTCCCCTCCCCGATTGGCCATACCTTTTTTTTCCCTTTAAAAAACTGCTTGAAGAATCTTTGCGTTTAGATTTCTCTAGAGTGAGTGAGTGTGTGTGTGTGTGCGTGTGTGTGTGTGTGTGTGTGTATATGTGTGTGTATGGGTGTCTGTACATATGTGTATATGTGTGTGTGTGTGTAGTATTTCTTTAGATCTCTATTTCTCCGGACCTTGCTGTCTTCTCCTGCGGGGGTGGGGGGCGAACCCTCTTTTTGATAGCTGTTAACATCAGAATTAATCTATGCAGACAGAGCCTGGGGAGTTCAGCCTCACTATTACCCAGCTCTGCTATCAAGCATGTAGTACCTAAGTACTCTGTGCCTCAATTGTCTCATCTGACAAATAGGGATAACAAGGGCTGCTTCTGTACAGGATTGATATAAAAGTTAAATGAAGCACTTTATAGGAAATGCATAGCCTGGTGTCTGGCACACAGGGAGTATGAACTGCTGTCTCTCTTGATGTCTTCATCACAAATGGGTGAATGCAGTCTAGGTTCAGTAAAAGCCTTCCTTCATCTCAGCCATCACCTCCTTCAGGAAGCCCTACCTGATTTCTCCCTATCCCTTCTGCCCAGCCTGGATCAGTTGTCCTTCCTGTATTCTCTTAGAGCACTGATCACACTGCACTCACTGGAGCTGTGTGCACGCATATCTGTTTTCTGCACCGAAGCGGGAGCTGCAATAAGGAGTGTGTTTTATCCAATCACAGAGGTTGTGAAACTTAGGGACCAGCAAGTATATGCTGAGTGAATAATGGAAGCTTCCATTTATGTAGTCAGTGGTGAAAGACTTAAAGCCTGAACCTGGAGGCTGAACTGTGGAGCTATCTCAGTGGTAGCACCGTGGATTCTGCTTTTCCCCTTACCAGAAACAGTTCCAAAGTCATTGAGTCACAGAAAGTGAGAGACAGAGATTGGAAGTTCAGTTTTGTTATTTTCAGGTCAGGAAGTGGAAGCCTCAGGGGTTTATGGAGGCCTCATGCCATGCAGGAGCACCATGGCAAAGCAGTGCTCCCATCCTGACCTGTTGAGCTGTCACTCACTTGTTGCTGCACCGAGCCAGGGCACACAAATGGCACAGGGTTGGCCTCCTCCCAGACTGTCACCTGAGGGAGGCTGGGTGGTAGCAGAGATTCATGTAGGACACAGTGAAGGTGGCAGGCCAGCCCTTCCTGGAAGTGGGGGGTGGGGGCTGAGCTTGGGAAGGAGGCCTGGCCCCAGTCCTGGATCTGCGGCCTATCACTGTGCAAGCCTGAGCAACTCATGGATGCCCAGAGCATGAGAAGGGGATAGGGCCCCAGAGATGATCCATCCCGACCTCTTTGGTTTATGGGAAAGGAGACCAAGGCCCAGATATGTGACCTGCCCTTCCCTGAACTATAGACTTAATCAAAGGCACAGCTGGTAAATGAATCCATGTCTTTTGAATCTGAAACCTAGTTTCCTCAATGAATGGATTCCAGTGTTTCCCAGATATCAATGGGCATATGAATCACTGGAGGACCTTGTTATAACACAGGCAGGACGGGGGTGAGACCCCAGATTCTCTTTCCTAATAAGCTCCCAGGTGCTAGCTAGAATGGCTCTAGGTAGGTGGTTCTTAGAAAAATCAGTGGTGTAGGCTGCGCTGTGATGAAACTACTTGGTGTACTAGCCACGAATTAGTGTAGTCTTATCAGGTCAATGAGGACATTGGCTGCTGGGACACTCACCGAGATGCTGATAGAGCCAGGGTCCTTCCCCATCAGCATTAGTCACCTGTTGCCCTGTTGGCTGCTTCTGGGTCTATGGTGAAGATGCAGGTTCTGGCTAGGTGCTGTAGGTTCCTTGATTGCACCCTAGTTAGAGGGCTGTGACTTACTCAAGGCATCAGAATCACCTGAGCACTTACTAAAAATGCAAATCGTCAGGCCTCAGCCCAGATCTAGTGAATTAGAAACTCAGGGTGGGGCCTAGAAATCTTTATTTTAACAAGCCTTACAGGCGATTCTGATGCACACACTGAAGTTTCAGAACCATTGGCCTAGGAAATAAACAAGAATTGAGATAAGAATTTAAATTTTATTGTTTCCTTGGACTTTGGACAGGGGTAGAGGGGTGGAAAGTTTTGTATTTAAAGCCAGAGCAATTTTTCAAAGCCACTTTGATTTGGAGGTTGCTGATTTGACCTGTCTTGTGGAAACTTGCATGAAGTGTTCTCACCAAGTCTAAGATGCATGATATTCTCACTGCAGGTGAAAACTGATTCACTGCTTATAACTAACCGTGAAGATCACAACTTAATTGAGTAGGAAAAAAATCCTGGTAGTTATCCTTAAGACCTATGGGGGAGAAAATTGATCTTTTTTTGTTTTTTTCTTTTGAGACAGGGTCTGGTTATGTTGCCCAGGCTGGAGTGCAGTGGGATGATCATAGCATAGCTCACAGCAGCCTCAAACTCCTGGGTTCCAGTGATCCTCCCACCTCAGCCTCTGGACTGATGACACTACAGGCATGTGCCACCATGCCCAAGGACTTTACAATTTTTTTGTAGAGATAGGGTCTTGCTGTGTTGCCCAGGCTGGTCTCAGACTCCTGACCTCAAGTGATCTTAGTGCCTTAGCCTCCCGAAGCATTGAGATGACAGGCGTGAACCACTGTGTCTGGCTGAAAACTGATCCTTAAATAGTTAAAAAAAAAATTCCTTGGTGCTCCCTCCTCTTTTTCCTTCAAAGACTTGAAATTCTTTCTAAACATTAGCATTTATCATTCAGAACAGGAAAATGCCTTCTTTAATTTTCTGTGGTGATATGTCATTGCATTAAAGATGGTCTGAATAACCTTTATGCAGCCCAGCTGGTGCCTGCCCTTCTGTCATGAGACAGGAAATCTGTGTTGACTGACTTGGTCATTGCTTAGGTTTGGCCATGTTCTGTGCTGCCTAAAACCTCCATTGCACTTGGCCAAGCTCTCGGAGCCCTGTCAGTGTGCACATTCTGCATGTGTGATTTATGATATGGCAGATCTGAAGACTGGAGCCTGTTTCTCTGGACAATGTCACTCTGCCTTGAAAGAGGAGGTGGTAAGAGCTCATGTGAACAGAAACCTGCTTACAGCTTGACCAAACCCAGCATCAGGCTACCATAATGTCTGATATCCCTAAAACAACAAGCTCTTGTAAAATTAGTATAAAAATTAATTACTTTTGACTGGATGTTAACTGAAGGACATGGTAAAAGACATAAACAGAAAAAGATCAAGTTAAGGCTGAAATCCAAAATCTGTGACTTTACACATTTATGTCTTTTTTTTTTCGTTTTTTGATATGAAGTGCAACAGTGCAATCTCAGCTCACTGAAAACTCCGCCTCCCAGGTTCAAGCAATTTTCCTGCCTCAGCCTCTCCAGTAGCTGGGATTACAGGCATGCACCACCACACCCGGCAAATTTTGTATTTTTAGTAGAGACAGGATTTCTCCATGTTGGCCACGTTGGTCTCGAACTCCTGGACCTCAGGTGATCTGTCCACCTGGGCCTCCCAAAGAGCTGGGATTACAGGCGTGAACCACCGTGCCCGGCCTACACATTTATCTTGTTCGCTCTTTTGGGTTCCCACACCCCACAGAGTTCCAGAGGAGATAGGGAGAGTCATGGTGTCATTTCCCAGATTGGCAAATAGTGACCATGAGAATGTAGCTATTGATTCGTTGTGATATCCAAGTTGAGACTGCTCCCTCTGCTGGACAGCTTTGTACAAGTACCGTCCTGTACTGGCCCTGCATACACTCCAACATCCAGAGATGTAGGTGACAGGGGCTAGGACTGTAAAGATGACAGTCCCCACTCTGTTAAAATATTATATATCCCTATAAGCAGGGGACCCCAACCCCCTCACCTGCATATCCAAGCCCCCATGAAAGCAAGAGGAACAGAGAGATGGAGGTACCTGTGGGACCTTTTGGTAATGCCCCAGTCTCCACTCTCTTACATCATCAATTTGCTGCCTCTGGCAGAAAAGAAATCCTTCAACAAGTCCAAGAACATAAATCATGTTATTATCATTCGGCTTGTGATCCACCAAGCCATGCACTAACACATCAGAGTCTGAACTCAGCACTTTGGTCTGTGTTCCGACTTCCAACCAATGATCTGAAAGAAACTTGGAAGGCTCATTCTCCATCAATTTTTTTTTTTTTTTGAGACACAGTCTTGCTCTGTCACACAGGCTGGAGTGCAATGACGCAACCTTGGCTCACTGCAACCTCCGCCTCCCGGGTTCAAGCAATTCTCCTGTCTCAGCTTCCCGAGTAGCTGGGATTACAGATGCCCACCACCACGCCTGGCTAATTTTTGTTTTTTGTATTTTTAGTAGGGACGGGATTTTGCCATGTTGGCCAGGCTGGTCTTGAACTCCTAGCCTCATCCACCTGCCTCAGTCTCCCAGAGTGCTGGGATTACAGGCGTGAGCCACTGCACCTGCCCCCCAATTAACATCTTTTAACAGTGCAGAGTTCATCTGACAATTATGATTATAAGCTTATAAAGTCCCCGGAGTCAGATGTTCAAGGACAGGAAAAATAAAAAATTAAAAAATAAAATAAAAATAAAGTCCCAGCCAGTGGTCTCTACCTTGGTTGTCGTGATGAGTTTCTCTAAGGGATCTTCCTGCTTCTTCCTGATAGTCCAGTGCCTCTCCACTTTCCTGCTGGGTTAACACACAACAAAAAATACATTAGACAAAATAAACGCAAACACTTTAAACACTTCTGTAGTCGACACCCTTTGGTAAAAGGGAATCCACTTTTCTTAGTGGTTTCTTCTTCTTCATCAACTTGTTTTTACTTAAATCTCCAGGAAGGCTGCTACTAGTGTTAAACAGGCTTAAAGAGCCAGGCAGAGCTGGACATGGTAATAGGCACCTGTAGTCTCAGCTACTTAGGAGGCTGAGACGGGAGAATCGCTTGAAGCAGGAATTCCCAGGAGTTTGAGTCCAGCCTGGATAGCAAGACCCTGGACCCTGTCTCTTAAACAAAGAAGAAGAAGAAGAAGAAGAAAAAAATCCAGGGCCAGGCGGGCACCAGCAGTGTTGAGCACTGTGACCTTCCTGCTTGTACTTATTTCCATGAGGTCTTGTATCATTCACCTGTGCAGTGTTCAATGCCTGGCATTTGCAGGAGTTTATTGGGGGAGAGAGAAGAAGGTCATGACAGAGGCAATCTGGCAGAAGGAAGCAGGGTACCTCCAGGACCTGAGGGAAGACTGGTGTGCCTAGAGCAGAGACTGGGAGAACTGCGCAGGGTTGGGAGGAGTCAGACCCCTATGGCCTTGCAGGCAGGTTGAGGACTTTGGTCTTTATCTTGAGAACAAATGGAAAGCATTCAGGATTTAAAACAGGGGAGCCAAAGGGTCAGACAGCCTTTTGTGGCATTCCCGGGATTACCACGGATTGGGTTTCTTATCACATTTGATCCCTTCTTCCTTCTCTCCTTGAGTCATACAAGCTGCTTGGAATCCCTCCTCCCAGCAATCTCCATAACTGTGGTTATCAACCCTGGCTGCACATCAGAAGTATTTGAGAAGTTTTAGAAAATATGATTCCCAGGATCTAACTCCAAATAATAACAGTCAGGCTTTCTGGAGTTGGGGCATTTTAAGGCTTCTAGGTTGAGTTTGATATGCAGCCAGGACTGAGAATCATGCTCTTCTCTAGAGCATTGGAAGAGCAGCTCTTCAGTGTCAAAGTAATGTGGCAGGTGGAGTTGGTGACCCAAGTAAGCCCAGTATGTCTGATGAGGCCAGCTCTGGGCCTTTGTCGCCTGGATCCCTGCTCAACTCACAGCTTCATCTCGGTGCTAGAGCTGGAATCTGACATGAAGGGTCCTGGGAGTCTCTCCCGGGTTACCCTCATTCTGTAGTGACAGTCACCTTTCTACTTTGTTATCAAAGTCCCAACCTGCTTGAGAAAACTAATTACCTGCTATTTTGGCACTCTTTTTAACTCCCCTCTGAGTTCCCTCACTTGGTGGCTTTCCACCTTGCGTGTTTGTTTCTCGCTTGTTAGCTTAGTGTTTATAGCTGATGATATATACTGACATAAAGCTAACACAAGTAAATAATTTTCTTACTTTTGGGTTTTTATTTTGGAGACAGAGCCAATTTGGGCTGGTACAGTTAAAAAAAAATCCCTGAATAAATGGAAAAGAGTAAGAGGCTAAGTTAGAAGCACAGGAAAGAGAAACTTGAAAAACAGAATCACTGGTTATAAAGCCTTTGACTCTAACAAGAAACTGTATTGAGAGGGAGAGCCAAGCTTCCTCTTTTGGAAGAATTTTAATACCAAGAAGGATAAACTTTCAGTCTCAATAACATGCAACCATGAGCTTTCAGGGGCAAGGAATATCTTCTCATTTCACAGAGTGGGAGAGGGAGACAGAGAAACTCAGGGATTTGGAAAAATATTTTCAGGTGAGTCCTTGTTAGAAAAAAATAGTCTTAATTAGTAACTCTGTCCATTCAATTGCATGTTGCTTAGGAAAGTGTCAAAGAGCTATCATTTTTGAGTTATAAGAATATGCATGTGGCTGGGTGCAGTGGCTCACGCCTATAATCCCAGCACTTTGGGAGTCTGAGGTGGGCAGATCACGAGGTCAAGAGATCGAGACCATCGTGGCCAACATGGTGAAACCCCGTCTCTAAAAAAAAAAAAAAGACTCTGAGCAATGTGTATAATATGCTAAAACTTGCATATACTATCTATCTGTGTATGCATCTATCTGTATTTGCTTATATATGCATCATACATCCCAGAAAGGGGAACCCAGGAAACTGGCAATAGTGGTTGTTCGAGGGAAAGGAACAGAGCAGCTGGAAGGCACACTCTTTTGTACTTAAATTGGAAAAAAACTCTTTTGAATATATTTCAGATTCAAAATTTGAATTAAAGAAACTAAATGGGCTGGGCGCGGTGGCTCACGCCTGTAATCCCAGTGCTTTGGGAGGCCGAGGTGGGTGGATCACCTGAGGTTAGGAGTTTGAGGCCAGCTTGACCAACATGGTGAAACCCTGCCTCTACTAAAAAAAAAAAACAAACAAAAATTAACTGGGCATGGTGGTAGGCACCTGTAATCCTAGCTACTCAGGAGGCTGAGGCAGGAGAATCGCTTGCACCCAGGAGGTGGAGGTTGCAGTGTGCTGAGATTGTGCCATTGCACTCCAGCCTAGACAACAGAGTGAAACTCTGTCTAAAAAAAAAAAAAAAAAAAGAAACTAAACCTAAATAAAATGCTATGTCACTTTTCGTCTGAGTTACGAATGTCATGATTAAAACTGAGTGATGGAAACACAGGTAATAATTCTTGGTGAGTGAGCAAAACAAATGGAGGGACCGCAAATTCAGATCCCAGGTCTGTTGTTCCAGCCAGTGCTCTTCCTCTGTTCATTCAGCTAATGAACATTTATTGAGTGTCTGCTGTGTGCCAGGTACTGAGATAGGCACTGGGGGCACAAAGATGAAAGATGTAGTCGTAGGACGCTCACTGACTTGTGGGGAAATGACAAGTCAGTTCGCAATGCAGCGTGATAAATGTTGTGGCAGATTATGACAGGTTTCTGCAGGGCCTCATGGGAGGTGAAGCTAAATTAGGCTGGGAAGGTTGTTTACCAGCAGACACAGTGCTAAATCTTGCAGTGAAGGGAAGGTAGAACAATTCCAGGCAGAGGAAGCAGCATGTGCTGGTTAGGGGATAGTTTGGTGCGGGGGCAGTGTGTGGACACGGTAAATTAGACACAGGCCAGATCTTGCATGTTACAGTTTGGAGTTTAAGAAAAATTGCACGTTATATATTTTTGTATTTGTAAAATAAATACATCTTTGATGCTGGGAATTTAAACAGAGGGCCAATGGGGACACAGTAAAGAATTTCAAGCAAACCAGTGATAAGACTGAGCTGTATTTAGAAAGAGCAGTGGCAGCAGTGTGGTATTATAAGACTGGGGGAGGAGGAAGAGTCACAAACACTTTGTGAACACAAACTTCAGCATTGAAACCAACATGTGAGAAGCAGTTTCTCCGGTGGCTGAGTTATAGGTCCTATAGTCAGGCTGTCTGCATTAAAGTCCTAACTCCTACACTTGATGTCTTACAGACCATGGGAGTTACTTAACCTCTGAGCCTCAGTTTCTTCAACTGGAAACAGACAGATACTGGACAAATAATCTTGGGTTATCTGTCCTTGGAAAACCTTCCAGCCATCCTGCCCTCCACTCTCATACACAGCACCCTATCTGGGCACATTACTTTTAGGACCACAGCAGGCTTTCTTGGGGAGCTGCTGGGAGGACGGGGGAGCTGCTGGGAGGACGGGGGAGCTGCTGGGAGGATGGAGGAGCATGGGATGCAGGAGTTTGAGGTGTGGCCTCCAGCCTGCCTTGAAATATCTGCATGGCTTATCATTGAACCTCAGCTTCTACACCTGTGAAATGGGAGTAATAATAAATAAGCATACAGAGTTCTCAAAAGGCTTAGCTGGAAAAATACATTTGGAAATTCCACGTAACATACCATGTGATATATGAATATAAATGACTAATTTCAATACTTTCTTGATGGTAGCTTTTTTCTTTTGGAGCTAGAACAAACTCATAAATATTTTTCCTGGCAATATTAGTCAAGTGTCCTGGAACCACTAAATCTTGAGACCAGCTCGTGATCCCTCTACAACTTTCCTGCCAAGTGGTCATCAAGGCACATTTAAATGCTTCTGGAGACCAGAACTTATCTCCTAAGGCACCCTGCTCCATCTTTAGACAATGTCCTAAGCCAAGCATTATTTCCCTGTTGTATGTGAAATCCACAGATTGAGGGGCAGCCCCCCTCTGCTTGGTGTGATGCATGTACACCTGGCCACATAAGTAAAGCTTGGGACTGGCCTCAAAACAGGTGGGGCAGCTCTAACTGTAGGCACAGCTGGCTCTTGTCTGTCCAGGCCAATTCCTCTACTTTGCATTTGAGGGCACTATGTGCTAACTGTGTGGGAACTGCGAGGTGGAAGCTTATTTCTAATTCTTCAGATGCTCTGGGCATAACATACACACCCTTTGATAACAACGTGGAGTATAAGGATATTCAATTCAGTATCTAACATTATTGCTATTTTCTTCCCTACTACCATGACCTATCCCTGATAATTTAAAAAGTCCCTGAAAAAAAAAAAAAAAAACTCTATCCTTATTCATTCATCAATTACCATTTCTTTTTGAAAAACAAAATCAAGTTTTTAAAAATATGGTTCAAAAAATTTTTTTTCTTCTTTTTTGGTTTAGAAAACAGGCCGGTCTTGGCCAGGCGCAGTGGCTCAAACTTGTAATCCCAGCACTTTGGGAGATTGAGGTGGGTGGATCACCTGAGGTCAGGAGCTCGAGACCAGCGTGACCAACATGGAGAAACCCCGTCTCTACTAAAAATACAGCTCATTCTATACAGTCAGCACATACAGGCTGCCCTCCATTCCTGGAGCTATGTAGAAACCACTTCAGCCTGTGTGCTGACTGTATAGAATGAGCTGGTTTCTACCTGGCTCCAGGAGTGGAGGGCAGCCTGTGTGCTCTTCTCTGTTTGAACTTACCATCTTTGTCTGTACTACCCTGAGACTGTGTCTTACTGTACGGCAATCCCTAAGAACCTGGGAGCTACCACATCTGTAAGGAGGTCCATCTAGGGACTGTGAACACTGAACCTTTCCAGGAAAAGCCATGGTCTTTTGGGCAAATACTGGCCTGGGAGTCAGAAAGTGTACTGAACGTGTACTTTGTGAGTCCCCTGGAAGCAGGCTGAGTTGCCATTTCTGTGAGTCTTGAGGGAGGTGGACAGGAAAGTGGGCCTCAGGTTCGACAACTCTTTTCCTTCTATAATACTGTGCCAAAATTACTGGATGAAATAAGTGTAACATGAAAGCATTGTGGATACTAAATATACAAGCAATTATTGTAAAATTCCCTACTTTGAATTCTGCAGTTCTTAGATGCTCCGCATTTTCTTATCTCATTTCCCCAGCAGCTAGCACCTTTGACCATGCTACGCACTCTGCTTGCTTATTGCGTCCGTTGTCTGTTCTCTGTACTATCCTGGGGCAGAGCAGGGATCTTGATCTGTTTTGTTCATTGACGTATCCCAAATGCCCCCAAACTGCCAAACACATAGTAGATAGCAGGTGCTCAAATATCGGTTAAATGAATGGTAACAACAACAACAAAAATGAATGGTAACTGTGATATTTCCTCCCAGAAAGTACAATTCATAATTCTTTCAGCCCCAAGAGAATAACTAAACTGTGGCTAAGAACAAAAGGGATGGTTTCACTAATGTAAGTTATGGAGCATGGCAATCTTTTTTGAATACTTGTAGAAAACATCTTTTCTTTTGTGGTCCAGAATCATTCTCCTTTCCTGTAGTTTTTTTTTTTTTTTTTTTCCTATGGAGATGGGGTCTCATATGTTGCCCAGGCTGGAATGCAGTGGCTATTGCAGGTGTAATCATAGCACACTACAACCTTGAACTCCCAGACTCAAGTGATCCTCCCATCTCAATCTCCTGAGTAGCTGAAATTCCTTTTTATAGTTTTCAGTACTCCATTTTCCTCTTCAGATATGCTTTCTCTTCCCATTCTCAGTCCCTGTGGTTCTAGGGTGGGCCAGTGGCTTTCATTTGGGTATAGATAAATGACCTGTGTTGGTTTACATTCAGTTCTGGAATGATCTGGGAAACAGAAGATGGTGGCCAGCTTGCCACCCCTGGGGAAGAGCCTATCTAAGAAGAACCCTGAAAAGCAGAGCCCATTCATGGACAGAGACAGATTTTGGGCAAATGCACAACTCGTAATCAAAGCCCCACCTTGTAGAATTGGGATTGGGGCAGCCCAGAGAATTAGGAGGGTGACCCTCATGACCTCCAAAGGTGCTGCCAGGCTATGGCACCAGATAGAGCCATCATCATGCACTAGGCAAGTATTTGGTTTCTTCTGCCCCGTTCCTGTCTTTCTCAGTCGTTCTTATCAAGGGCCTGGAATATTTCCTCCAGGGTACTATGAAGGATCTGAGGTCCTTCCATGCCAGGCCTGGCTCTGTTCCTGGTCAGTTTCTTTGACTCCATGGCTATTTATTTCCAGTTCAGTAAGCTCTGAGGAGGGCAAAGAATGGGTAGGAAAGGGGCCCTAAAGCAGAGGGTGTGGGATGAAAAGGATGGGTCAATTCATGGAGCATTTAATGAGCACCTTCCACGCGTCGGGCGCTGTGTTCGACGCTGGGGTGGGAGGGAGTATGGCAAAGATGGACAAATGCCATCCTCACTACAGAAACCCTCAGTACCCTTAACTTGAAATGAAGCTGAGCTTGAGAGATCAATGAACTCTTAGAGAACAGAAAGCAAGGCCAGATATCCAGAAAGGAATTTGCAGTTGACTTCTAAATAGTTAGCTCAAGAATCAGTCTTCTCTACAGTAGTAACATCAACTCTACCAAGTGATAGTGGTAAAACAGTAACAATTATTTTAGTTACTGTCAAGATAAAATGAATTGTATTTGCCTGTTTTATAAGGTGGTTTAAAGTTACTCTTTCTCCTCTCTGTTCCCTGTCCCCCACCACCCAAACCAGACACCCGACTGATTTGTCCCCGATGGCTGGCTGTGATTACTGTCCTAATTTGTTCTTTCCTCATCTGCTACAAACTGCCTATTTTCTGTACTTCTGATAATGCAGGAGCTCTCAGGGACTTCTGAAGCTGTTTTTGTACCATGCAGAAGTGTATTAACTGGAATTCCTATGTTTGTGTCTATAAAACCCCTCGTCTTCTCAGTGTGAGATCACCTTCAGGAACGGCGTCATGTCGATGTGCAGCTTGCACGTGTAAAATTCTTTTCTGTTTGAACATATCAGCCCTTTATTTATACAACTTTGAGGCTCTCCTGTCTTCTGAGCTGCTGCCTCCAAGGACTGCTGGGCTCCCTGTGAAGAGAAGCAGAAAGCCCAAACTTTCATATGAATGATACACGGTGCAACAAGAGCTAGTCCAAATCCCCAAATATTTATAGAAAGCAATTTTTAAAATCACTGACACGGTAATAGACAACACCTATTTTTACTGTTGAAGACACAGAGGACCCTACAGAGAGAAAATACCCCAAGACTGTTTATTAATTAATACCTATGGAAGTGAAAAAAAGGAGCTTCCTAGGTCCCAGTTTTTTTTTTTTTTTTTTTTTTTTTGAGTTTCGCTCTTGTTGCCCAGGCTAGAGTACAATGGCGTGATCTTGGCTCACCGCAACCTCTGCCTCCTGGGTTCAGGCAATTCTCCTGTCTCGGCCTCCCAAGAAGCTGGGATTACAGGCATGTGCCACCATGCCTGGCTACTTTTTTTTTTGTATTTTTAGTAGAGACAGGATTTCACCACGTTGGTCAGGCTGGTATCGAACTCCTGACCTCATGACCCACCTGCCTCGGCCTCCCAAATTGCTGGGATTACAGGCGTGAACCACTGCACCCGGCCGGTCCCAGGGTTTTAATTATTTCCTTTAACCCTCACAACAACCCTGTAAGTCAGGTACTGTTACTCCCATTATACAGACAAGGAAACCAGGAGGCTCTGGGAGGTTAAGCAACTTGCCCAAGGCCATTACCTGATATATACAGAGCTAAAATCACATCTGCTGAAGACTCCTTTTTTTTTTTTTTTTTTTTTTTTTTT